ATCCTGTTGGGATAAACGGGTTATATATGAAACGTGATATCCTAATGGGATACACGAGTTATATATGAAACCTAATATTGTGGTTAGATATGAAACATGGTATCCTAATGAGATACACGGGTTATATATGAAACCTAATATTATGGTCTGATACACAGATTATATATGAAATCTAATATTGTGGTTATATATGAAACATGGTATCCCAATGGGATACACGGGTTATATATGAAACCTAGTATTATGGTCTGATACACAGATTATATATGAAACCTGATATTGTGGTTAGATATGAAACATGGTATCCTAATGGGATACACGGGTTATATATGAAACCTAGTATTATGGTTAGATATGAAACCTAGGCTAAAAAGCGGTTAAATTATATCTACATTACCTTCTACACCAGAATGTGCTGTTTTCTTCTTCTTGACCAATGGTCATCTGACCCATAGCAAATTTTTCTAGGAAAGAATCTGGACGATCTGGCTGTTTAAGCTGCCTTTTCCCAGAAGCCCATTGTTTGACCACCTGTTGTAAGTTTCATAAACTTGTTTGTAAATCAGTAAGTTCATCCTTACGTAAAAACAGCATCAGTCTTACATGTAGGTTCTATTTAACAAGTACTTTGTCAGTTTTATAAATAACTTCACACATTTGTCAGTTTTATAAAGAACTTCACACATTTGTCAGTTTTATAGAACTTCAAACATTTGTCTGTTTTATAAAAGACAGATGTTTGAAGTTCTTTATAAAACTGACAAATGTGTGAAGTTCTTTATAAAACTGACAAATGTGTGAAGTTCTTTATAAAACTGACAAATGTGTGAAGTTCTAATAAACAGACAGATGTTTGAAGTTCTTTATAAAACTGACAAATGTGTGAAGTTCTTTATAAAACTGACAAATGTGTGAAGTTCTAATAAACAGACAGATGTTTGAAGTTCTTTATAAAACTGACAAATGTGTGAAGTTCTTTATAAAACTGACAAATGTGTGAAGTTCTTTATAAAACTGACAAATGTTTGAAGTTAGTCTATCCATCTTACACACGTTTTCAGTAAGAAGACTTTAGCGCCTTGGCACTAAAACATTAACATGATGAATGGAAGTTTGCTAGAATGTATACTTTATGTAAGTTTGAGAGTTTCATATATATTCTCGACCCTTTAGGGCTAGTTATGTGAATTCTCACAAATGTGTGAAACTCACAATAACGCTCTGACAAAAGTTTCAATTTCTTTATAAAACTGACAAATGTGTGAAGTTCTTTATAAAACTGACAAATGTTTGAAGTTATTTATATAACTGACAAATGTTTGAAGTTATTTATAAAGCTGATAAATGTTTGAAGTTATTTATAAAACTGACAAATGTGTGAAGTTCTATAAAACAGACAGATTTTTGATTTTGTTTGTTTGTTTGTAATTAAGCACAAAGCTACACAATGGGCTATCTGTGCTCTGCCCACCACGGGTGTCGAAACCTGGATTCTAGCGTTGTAAGTCCGCAGACATGCCGCTGTGCCACTGGGGGGGGGGGCAGACAGATGTTTGAAGTTCTTTATAAAACTGACAAATGCTTGAAGTTCTATAAAACTGACAAATGCTTGAAGTTCTTTGTAAAACTGACAAATGTGTGAAGTTCTAATAAACGGAAATCAGTTACGTTTCATCGACATGGTCGATATTCCATGATGGACAGCGTAAACAATAAACATCTCATATGCTAGCACATTGTAGAGAAGATAACAGCTTGTTCCTTAACTGCGTCAGCTATAACGTATAAAATGGAACTCTAAATATATGTGTAAAAGAAGTAGATAAGTAATCGTAGCATTTGTTAGGGTTCGTTGAGTTTTGGCGCAAAGATCTTGTGAAACTTTCGAGATCAGTGAAGAATTTAATAGGTTTTTAACATTACACATTCGTCTCGTTTGGAGCAATGTTTTAATTTCTTTACGTTGGTAAAATAAACTACTACTGAGTGTACCAGATCCCGCAGGCACAAGCCGTTCTGCGCATGCTTATATACATATATTTTTAATTTAGTTTCTTTGCTCTACTACGGGAAGACGGTAAACCAAAGATAGATGTCCATAGTTGAACAAACTGTCTCCACCTCACTAAAATGAACGATAACGGTTCGGTACGCACGCGCAGTCTTCTTAAATCTTCACTGCTCTAGGTGTATTGTACTTGTAGGTTCATTTGTCAATAGTTATTAAACGTTTACATCGTACATTATTGAGAAGTGCCTTTTTTATTATCTTAGGCCTCATCTCTCCTGTTTTTGTTGTAGCAGGCTAAATTGTTACATCGTACATTATTGAGAAGCGCCTTTTTTATCTTAGGCCTCATCTTTCCTGTTTTTGTTGTAGCAGGGTAAATTGTTACATTGTACATTACTGAGAAGTACTTTTTTATCTTAGGCCTCATCTTTCCTGTTTTTGTTGTAGCAGGGTAAATTGCCTGGTGATTAGCTAAACCACAAACCAATACAGAAAAATCTACAGTACGTTTATGATCAAAATCGTAAGTTGTCTGAGAAAGATGGAGCTCTATTTTGTGAATTCAACAAATTTAATAACGATAACAATTTTGTAAGCTACATGATATATTAGTATAAGACGTTAATTCTGGCAATCTCTTATTGTTCCAATGCGTTCTTTCGTTGTGCAGGTTCTTTTAAATTATTTGGTGGAAATAATGTGAAGTCCACCCGACGATAATAACTTAGTTTTGCTTTCTTAACGTTTGCTGCAGACTACTATCACCGGTACACAATTGTAGGCCCTAGTTCACAAATAATGTTTTGACTTTCAATAGAAATTTATTCACTGATAGTACTAGAACTAACGTACAAATAAACTTACTTGTACAATTTATTGGATGATCAATCGAGTAACTCAAAATACGTGATACCTAACACTTACTTATCTGACCACTTCAATAACTTCTTAACCAGGGAACAAACTTAACAGTGACTCAGTGCTTCACACTGAATCTCAAATTTATAATGCATTCTTGTTTCCAGATATTTCTCAAAGTACCTCGATCATTAGCATTCAGGAAAATTCTATATTTTTTTCAGACTAATAAACTATCTAAATTTATCGTCATCACCATGTTAGCAGCTTCCTCTAGCAAACATCTAAACTAAAACATTGAAAATATTTAATTAACGTCTTGTACTAATATATCATGTATAATTAACGTCTTGTACTAATATATCATGTTTAATTAACGTCTTGTACTAATATATCATGTATAATTAACGTCTTGTACTAATATATCATGTTTAATTAACGTCTTGTACTAATATATCATGTTAATTAACGTCTTGCACTAATATATCATGTATAATTAACGTCTTGTACTAATATATCATGTTTAATTAACGTCTTGTACTAATATATCATGTTTAATTAACGTCTTGCACTAATATATCATGTTTAATTAACGTCTTGCACTAATATATCATGTTTAATTAACGTCTTGTATTAATATATTATATATAATGCATATTATACGAAGACCGCTTGAAGATTCCGAAATTAAATTAAATCTGAGACTTTTCTTTAAAGATTACTTTCGTTACGAGACAATTTTACTTCCGTTGCTAGACCTGGCCATCGGTGGTTTACTTCCGTTGTTGAACCTGGCCATCGGTGGTTTACTTCCGTTGCTGGACCTGACCATCGGTGGATCTACTAAGTAACTGAAAGCGCGCGCTTATGGAAAATTCTTTTAAAGCTAATTGTGAGAGCAATAAATATCTGTCTTTCTTTTGTCTATCATTTCAAAATTGTGGACTTAAGCAGTGAAATTACTGAGCACTTATTTTCATATATATCTAGAAACAGCATCTGTTTTTACCGAATCTGGTGTATTTATATCTGCTGCTCTTTATAACTGAGAGTTTAATTTTCTTTGCACCTGAGATTCAAACCTTACCAAATTTAGGTTTCTTAACCCTAACACTCCTCGTACGAGAAATTCACCAAAAAAATTGTAATTTCCCTTAACCCTAACACTCTTCTTTTGGGAGACGACTCACCAGAGAATCTGTAGTTTCTCTTAACCTTCATGGTCTGGTGGTTAGAACACTCAACTCAAAATCTACTAGTCGCAGATTCAAATCTTGTCACATAAAATGTTCACCATTTCAGCCGTGGGGGCGTTATAATGTGACAGTTAATCCCACTATTCGTTGGTAAAGAGTAGTCTAAGAGTAGATGGTGAGTGGCTTTGACTAGCTGCCTTCCCTCTAACCTATTACTTCTAAAGTAGGGACGACTAGCGTAGATAGCCCTCGAGTAGTTTTGCGCAAAACCCAATAAAAAAACTCTTAACTCTAATGTTTTTTATATCTGGAATTCTAAGACTACGAAATTAGGTTTTATTAACCCTAACACTTTTTATATGGGTCGCTCACCTCAGAATCTTAGTTTACCTTAATCCTAACATTCTTTATACGGGAATCTCACCTATAAATATGCAGTTCCCTTAACCCCAACATCCATCATACGGGAGACTCACCTAAGAATGTCTACCTTAACCCTAATACTTTTATTTCTGGAAGACTGGAATTATAATCTGACCAAGTTTGTCTTGGTTAAGCCTAACGCTTTAATACATCCAGTGTACAACATCGTATTTATATTCACGATGTTAGGAAAACGTGTGGGCTCATAAAATAAATTCAAGACAAAAATAGTTTGATTTAGTATTTAGTGTACTTGTTTTTGCTTCTGACCTATTGGCATTAGTTTTATGTTGTTTATACGAACTACTGAATTAATTACTACATGTATAATTCAATACTTAGATCCGCCACAGATTGCTACTTACCTGGAGCCTCCTTACAAATCTTCCAACATTCTTCTTATCTTCCTCCGCCATCTGTTCAATCCGCACAATTTCTGAGCAAACACTGCTTCGCAAAGATGGAGTTGCAGGGACACCATTTTCCAAAACTTCTAATTCTTCCTCGTCTCTCTGAGTGGGTTTCAGCAAGTGTTTTTGATTGTTCTGAACAGACAAACGATCATCGGAGGTCGTACCATTACTTTTTACAGTGGACATACTGGGAAGAAACATTGCTCTCTCAACCCCCGCTGTGACTTAATGAAACCACTTGAAGTTCAATCATTGTAGAAAAGAAGACTGAACTTTGATCTTGGAAAAGTCAATAATATAGTATAAATTCAACGGTTTACAAAAGTCGAAATATATTTTAACTTAACACAATAAAAATTAGCATGTTTAAAAAACAGGAAATTTGTCGTCATTAAATGTTGTAGTCATAACACAGGATTGGTTATACTGATTGGTTATTTAACTATTAACATTGATTAAATGAAGTTACACTGATTGGCTGGTTAACATAACAAGTAATAACTTATATATATAATGATATTACACTCACTGGTTAATTAACCTGACAAGTAATAACTTACATTTAACAATGTTGCATTTACTGGTTGGTTAACCTGACAAGTAATAACTTTTATATAATGACGTTACATTCACTGGGTGGTTAACCTCACAAGTAATAACTTATATATATAATGATATTACACTCACTGGTTAATTAACCTGACAAGTAATAACTTTTATATAATAATGTTACATTCA